AAAGAAGCGTTTCTATAAGTCTTCCTACCAATATGACCAAGTTGCGAAAACAAGGTCAAACAACTTCAAAGACAATTTTAGTTTGTCGTAAATATCCTTTGAGTTCATAATGACCAGTAAATAATATGAGGAAATATGAAACTGCGACTAAGGGCGAGATATTAAGAAAAATATGCTCTTTTACTGATTTGGAAAAATATAGAAAGCGCGACAATAGTGTCATTTAGTAAAAGAGACTAGCATCGTCCATTGGGACATCTTTTTTTACTATAAAATCCTAGCCCTCTTCCTATATCAGGTTACTACATTATTTTATACTTGTGGGGCAGATTTTATGTGGAGGATGCCTCTCGACCTTGATACACAATTGTCTGTAATGTTTTATGGGTCCAACAATCTAAATTGCCTGAACAAATGGGCAATACGGAAAACCATATGGTATACTTAAACCCCATTGTTTCACGAGGTATGAAGAATTTCCTATTGTGACAAATCTTATGGAATAATCTTCAATTAAATAAAATTACTAACATAGGAAATAGAAGAAATAAATATAATAAAATGAGCAAGAAATACGAAATCTGGATTGTGGATATAATTAAAGTGATTGGGGAAGTGACACCTCACAGCCAAAGAAGAAGGCTTGATTAAGCTGTGATCTATTTGATGCCAGAAAAATTTCATTAGACAGATTATTTTACTTTCATAAATAAAACATGTGATTAGACAAAAGAAGATACATCAAAAATTCTGGTGAAACAGGTAGGCAAGAAGCAGATTCAAGCTTCCACTTCACTCAACTTCGAGCAAGTAGGCAAAAGCATAAAGTGGTTAATTAAAACATAGGATACCGCATTAAATGGGCAACTGGCCCCTATTTGTGGATTCAAGCTTGGATAAAATTGGATGAAAAATGCTTTTTTTTGCCACAAAGATGCCTACCAAGATAGAACAGTCAAGAGCTAAACACAGAATCATTAAGAGGACAAGATAGTGTGCCAAGGATTCATTGGACCGAGTAGGGCTTAGCAACCTCAAGCCAATTTAGAGGCCATCTTCCTCAGCTTTTCATATGGTATTACTGGTCCGTCGAAGTAAAATAGATGTAGGAGGAGAGATTGTTTTATAGTCGTATTCAGTATCAACAAATATCCTATTCTTTTCCTAATTGATTAGTCAGATTTCTCTGAATCATACTTATTCCGATGTCCCAAGTCTCCGATATCTGCACCAAAAACTTTTATCCGATTCGAAAAAAGGGGTGAGAATGAGGGGTCCCAAATTCCACGCTGTAGCCTGGATGAGATGTATTCACCCAATTTCATTTAAGGTGATGAAGGACTGGAAGTAGAATTTTTCCACAATGATATGAGTAGAGCTGACGTTTCCATTGAATTTCACAGAGCTCTTCTTTCCCAAAAGTTGTTCTCATTCAAGGTGGACTGCAGTTTCGACCTCGCATCGGTCTTATCAACATCCTCAGTGGGAGTCGAACCGTGACAATGCAGCATGTGAGGTTGACACGTTAACCACTCGGCCACATTGCCACGAGTGCCCTTGGGTCACAGGACAGATGTGAATTTCAAGGAAAACCAGGCCTTTTGGCTATATCATGTTCTTTTGGTTGGATTGTAGATGAAGCAAACGTATATTTGCTATAAAAATAGACTATGTTACTTATATTTCGTATTTAAGTACATTTGATATTACTGATTTACTGGTAGTCTCGAAACTCCACTTAAATGTGGCCTAAAAGACAAAAACTGGTCTCAGCGGTATCCATGGCGAGATAAAGGAAGTAAACTACAGACTCTATTGCTCAATATGAGATATATTCCCCCAATTTCGTTTAAGGTGATGAAGAACGGGTAGTTGAATTTTCCCACAATGATATGAGTAGAGCTGACGTTTCCATTCAATTTTACATAGCCTTGCTTTCCCAAAAGTTGTTCTGATCCAGGGTTGACTGCAGCTTCGACTTCGCATGCGACAGGGTAGATGTGAATCTCAAGGTAGGCCAGGCCTTTTTCCATAGAAATAGAGATATCAAGCAGTAATATGACCGAAGGTATGAAAACCAAAATGGTGTGCTCCTTAGTTTGGTCGCGGTCTATTTCATTACAGAGAAGTTTTTTGACCTTGTTTTCGCTACTTGGTCGTAGTGTCAGGAAGACCGAGAGGAACCAACCTCGACCAGAGTCCATAGTGTACATGCTACACCTCCAGACGCTTCGCCGGCAGCGTCAATGAACCTTGTCACTCTTAACACCACACCACAATTCGTCAAAGAGTGGTAGATAGGAGACAAATCCTATGGAACAATAGGGAGACTCTGATAGCACCTAGAGGAAGAAAATTGCTGACTAATAAGGCAGACTCGGATTAGCATTCTCAGCAAAAATGGCGAGATAATAAAGCCAGCCCGTTGTGTGAAAAGGTCCCATGAAATCCTCTCAAAAGAGCCCACCAGAAAGAGGCCTAATGAGTGAGTAAAAATTTGTGATAGCGAACGGGTACTATGAGGACTTAGGATGGATGGATGCACCCGGACAAAAGGAGAGATAGCACAACTGTTTAGCAAACAATTGGTCAACAGAGCAACTTCAGTTGTCGCTTTGAAGAATTGTGGTGTAGTGCTAAGAGTGTCAAGGTTCACTTTTAGGAAAGCAAGGCTATGTGAAATTCAATGGAAGCGTCAGCCATAATCATATCATTGTGAGAAAATTCAACTGCCATTCCTTCATTACATTAAACGAAATTGGGTGAATGCATCTCATATTACAGTTACTTGGGATTCGGAAGCTGTTAAACGTTGAGTTGCTGCTAGAGACCAGCATGAGGGTTTCAGTCTGTCCTAAAGATACCTCCTAAAAAGAACGAAGGCTCTGGTGAGGCATACGAAATTTTTGTGATAATTTGCAATTAGGTCAGTAATCCTGTGCCACTCTCGGTTTGCTACGCACTAGGTTTATCAATTTCGATGTAAAATTCTTCTGGTACAGTTGCGTAGCGAAGGAGTCCTTAGCCAATCGTTCTGCCCCGGAGGCAAATGAGTCGAGGAAGGATTTGATGGATAGACGCTGACAAATGTCGAAAGTTTGCTGGTCAACAAATGTGAAGTGACAATACAGCACACAGAGAATGGCCCAACTCAACAGAGCAACTAACTTTTAAGAGATAGGCTTTACAGCACCTGAAACTTTAGGCTCGGAACAAAGCAAAACGCCGGTGGCCAGCTGAAGATTAGATTTGGACAAACGTTTGCAGATTGACTCAAGTTTCTTGAGATCATTTGTATACAAGGTCAAAAATAGGAAAGATTCTATGCAATACGCAATTGTTAAACAATTTTATGGTCATATCAAAGGTCATACGGGTCCTTCAGATTCAAATAGAACACATAAACAAAAAATAAAAGGGCAAATAAATTATTGGATAAAGAAAAGAGAAATAGCTGAATGACTGAAAAGTCAATAAATGGGTAAATGAATAAATGAATGAGTTAATGAATAATCAAATGAATTAATTTATTAATGGATGAACTAATTAATAAATGGATTAATGAATGAGTGAATGAAAAATTTAATGAACGAATAAATGGATGGTTAAATGAATAAATATTTACGAATGCTTTTAATATTTGAATACTTGGAGACCCTTGCAAGCTACATATCATTTGATGAGCCAGAAATAAGCTAAACCTAATGTGCTTATCGACGTCTATTCAGGCGAGTGACTTATGGTTTAGCCAAATAAATACACATACTCTGCGTAATTGGCCTCATTTCCGATTTCCATCACTCTGAAGGGCCCTGCTTTCGTAAACGAGAGCCCATACAATTCTTTTTTTACTCAAAAAAAAAGTTCGTACTAGCATCTTTCCTATCCCCGTCAGTCGGTTGAAAAGTACTAAAAATAAGGCATT